GCTCACAGGTTGGTGAGCGGAGCCATTTGCGGGGATGGCTGGAGCGGCTCACAGGTCGGTGAGCGGAGTGGAGCAGCTCCTAGAGCAGAGCAGTTCGTGGCCGGGCAGGAAGTGGACTGGCTCGCGGTGAAGGTGGCGGCGGAACCCCACGGAGAGACGGCCGGTTGGCCTCGGATCATGTAAGGTGCCCCTTAACACCCTGTGTGCCCCCCTTTTACTCTGGGGCTGCACTGACCAGGGACACAGACTTTGGGGGTTGTTGGACTTTTGGGACTTTGGTTCTTGAATCCAGCAACCCAAAAATCACCCAAAGGGAAAGGACACGGCCCAATTTGCTGGGGTGGGTCTTTTGCTCATGGTTTGTGTTATGAATCCTGGTTGTGGTGTTTTTTCCAATTTAATGCTGATGTCGTTTACCTCATGTTATTAAACATTTTCTGCTACACTCAGACTCCGTGCTTGTGAGAGGGGAAGTATTGCGTCTTAGAGGCACCCAGGGGGTGGTATGTAATTGTCCCAGGTCACTGGGTGGGGGCTCGAGCCGGTTTTGCATTGCGTTATTGAAACGGAACCCCTAGATACAGAACCCGGCCCTTGTTGCTGCCAACTTAGATGGGCAGAAGGGTTACATATACGAAAAGTAGGTTATCATAACTAAGTAAAATGATTAACTGGTTACAAAGTTGATATCTTCAAATTTATGACCATGTGTATGTTTCATTATAATGTGAACACATTCAGCAAAGCTAAGCCCCAGAAGTTGTCCAATAAGACATTCAATATGCCAGAATGCTGCATATTACACTCTGCTTCAAAGACTTCTACTGTTATTAAGACAGTATGCAATGGAAACATATGCATCCCCTAAGCACAGAAGTACCACTATTATTAAGATTGCTTATCTTTAGATGTACATATATTTGGAAACAGCTACTCTCGAAGAAAATTACTGTAATGTCTGTGAAAGAACCAATTTCAGAACAAACCCTTAAGGATCTGCTGATTAACTTACCTGCCTTGAGTGAATAAAGAAATACTGTTATACTGCACAAAAACAATGTTGTTGATGTCATGTTTCACTAGAGAGGGTAAAAAAAAAGAAAGACCTCAATAATGGCTTTCAAAAAACACTTCAAAGCTGAATTTCAATAGTTTATATTAATGTACACTCCACACATTATTTAAATTTATATAGTACTTTTCTTCCAGAAGGCTCTCAACACGCTTTATAAATTTGCAGTACATTGGAGGGAATCACCTACCCAGTAGTGCACTGGTTTTCAACACGTGGTCCACAGACCCCTGGGGGTCTGCAGACTGCGTCTAAGCGGTCTGTGAAAGTTTGTCTTCACTACAGAACAATAATTTTCAATCTCTGGTCCACGGACCCCTGGGGAACCGCAGACTGTCGAAGATTTCCAAAGGGGTCCGTACCTCCATTAGAAATTTTTTTAGGGATCCACAAATGAAAAAAGGTTGAAAAGCACTGTGCACTAGTGAAATGCACCCATCTCTGCGATGGAACAATGGGACCATTCTGCACTAGTCTCACTACACAGCACGTGTTTTCTATTAATGGGGGGAGTGAAGAATAGCTTCTTCAATTGAAACAGAGGGATTTTAGCTAGGAAGAATATAATTACCTAAAAACTGCAACTAGAGCAGGACACGGGGGTTAACCACCCTATTCTTGTGAAAAGGGCCACAGGATCTTTAGATGATCACTGGTTCACATCTCAGGCACTTCCAGCTGAGCAGTACCCCTTGTACAATATTGTGAGATGAGCTCAGAAGAACGCTGTGTACTGAGTCAACAGCATTACATCTTGCAATACCTGCTTGCCTTTTATTTTTTAAACTCCTCCTTATACGTTTCCCTTTCAAGTATCAAACAGGACCAGTCTTGCTTAGCTATGAGAAAGGGTGAATGGCTGCAAGAATGTTGAGCACAAAGAGTATGTTGAGCATTAAAAAGTAAAGACAAACATTTCTGGGTGGAATTTCAGAAATTTCCTATAATGATGAAACCTGACATTTTCTCATTGAATTCAGTACATAAATAACAATGCTTAACTTAGCGTAACTCCTTGGTGTCACTTTAAA